AATTTTCTATTTCCGAAAAGTATGTTGTAGACATAATATGGTGAAGGTTTGTGGTTACGTTTTAATATGATTAAACTATTGTAGTTTCTTAAATACCTGTAACCGATTAACGTTAGTTATAACGGTTATCATAACAAAAGCAGTCCTTCGGGGAAGTAGACCAGGCGGGATTCGAACCCACATGTTCCCGCAGAGGAAAGTTACCGTTAACTCACTAGTCTGAGGCCCCAACCGGACTGCTGCATAATCACAATTACGAGTGTACTTATGGCAGTATAAGTGATTATAAATACCAAGCTCGTTGGACCAGGTGAGCTCCCATGCTTGTGAAACTAAATGTGAATTTGCGTGTGATGTGAGTGTAACTGTAAAATAAAAGATATAAGCATTGGTCTCTTACTTATTAAAGTGCTCGTCTGTTAAGCTAGTTGTCTCATCTCTCACTTTTCCTTGCAAAGAGAAATCTTTAGGAGAAACCGATCCAAACATTATACTTATAGTTGCATGTGACACTGTATCACTTTCTATATTAATATAGAAGCCGCATGAGAGTGCAGTAGTGATTATATATAATAAGCTCCCAAGGCGAGTCACGCGGCCGTTTCCCTACGTCAGCTGACCTCTGGCTCTATATAAATCAACATTACACATCAAGTTATAAGCAATCCACGTGATCAACTTTAACCAATCAGAAGACATACAGCCGCGTGATATGACGCTGAAAACCAATCAAATGGTCATATTTTGCCGGACTGCTGCATAATCACAATTACGAGTGTACTTATGACATTCAAAGTTATCGCGAAAGTCACGTGATTGTTTCCTACATCAGCTGACCTCTGACTCTATATAAACCGACATTACACAGCAAGGCGAGTCACGCGACCGTTTCCCTACGTCAGCTGACCTCTGGCTCTATATAAATCAACATTACACATCAAGTTATAAGCAATCCACGTGATCAACTTTAACCAATCAGAAGACATACAGCCGCGTGATATGACGCTGAAAACCAATCAAATGGTCATATTTTGACTCATGTGACAACTGTGCAGAATAAATAGGATATCGATATTGTACAGCACCCAGATCACTACTGATACTCGTAAAATATTTTTTCCAAATATTAAGACCGTCGACGAGTCCAACTCGGCGCGCGTCCTGGTAGGTTATAAACCTACAACAAGATCGTTGCTCTGTCTGCAAAGCAGAGCGACGTTCTGCAAAGGGTTCTTCGATGCAAAGCAACAATGATAGTTCGCGTTGCCAGTTGCAGTTCACAGTTGCGAAGTCCTCCAACCGGAGATACAAAATAATAATTATTAAAATTCGCTATTATGTATTATTTAATTATAGTTCAAGTTGGGAAATATTAAGGTTTATAAAAATGAAAATAGAAATACAAAATACGTGCCTCTCAATCCTTATATGCTATAGTTATAGCCGTATAAAGGCTTTGCCTGAATTTTACTGTTTACGGTACACCATTTATAACTGTAGCACGTCGTTTGTCGTTGTATCACGTGTTGTAGCGCGATGCGTTACTGTGCCGCGCCGCGCACTTAATAAGGCTTCTCACAGCGCCTGGCTAGATCGGCGAGATGCGCTACTGTGCCGCGCCGAGCTGCCATGAATTGACATCGTCAATTAATATCACGTGGTGACCCCCACTGTCGCTTCACCACTTCTAAATGATGCGTCTCACTATATAGATCGGCGAAATGCGCTACTGTGCCTCGCCGAGCTGCGTTGTAGGTTTACAACTTACCAGGACGCGCGCCGAGTTGGACTCCTGTATATGGAACAGATATGAGATATTTTACGAGTATCACCCGTTAACGAGCTGCGATGAATTGACATCGTCAATTAACACGTTGTGACCCCCCCATTGTCGTTTCATTTAGTGTATCGGGGCGAAACCACAATACAGCCGCGCGCGGCGGGCCTGTAACGTGTGGCAAATTTATATTTAACGAATAATACTTTAACGGGTGGTACTCGTAAAACATTTGTTTCCAACTCGGCGATCAAACGCTGCCATTTTGCCTGCCATTATAATGGCAGGCAAAATGGCATCGCCTGTTTTTACTGCAAGCGCAAGGGCTTTGGATAGAGCAAACGAATATATGTAATTAAATTATGCATATATGAATTGACATCGTCAATTAACACGTTGTGACCCCCCCCATTGTCGTTTCATTTAGTGTATCGGGGCGAAAACCACAATACAGCCGCGCGCGGCGGGCCTGTAACGTGTGGCAAATTTATATTTAACGAATAATACTTTAACGGGTGGTACTCGTAAAACATTTGTTTCCAACTCGGCGATCAAACGCTGCCATTTTGCCTGCCATTATAATGGCAGGCAAAATGACATCGCCTGTTTTTACTGCAAGCGCAAGGGCTTTGGATAGAGCAAACGAATATATGTAATTAAATTATGCATATATGCATAATTTAATTACATATATTCGTTTGCTCTATCCAAAGCCCTTGCGCTTGCAGTAGAAACAGGCGCGCAGTGAAACAATTGACGGATGTTACTCGTCTAAATTTCTTCGAAGTAGCGCGCGCCGCTTTCTTCTCGCCCGATGGCAAGTGCTACGAAGTAGCGCGCGCCGGGCCAGATCATTAACAATGGTCAATGAAACAAGCGCGCCCGCAATGGCGCGAAAGCACATGGTTAGGTGAATATATTCGTATGCGAAGCTTGCCTTTCATAATGCAGCGATTTCATAATTGGACGAGAGCAACTGTTGGCGACGTTTGACTACAAATGGCAATGTTTGATCGAAAACCTGGTTTCAGCTCCCTTGTGACCTTTAACTTAATAAATAAATGGACCGTACCCAGCAAACCTTAATTATAGGACGGCTCTAACGTTAATGTGGCTTTGGCTATGTGTTAACGGGTGATACTCGTAAAATATCTGTTTTAATTCGGCGCGCGTCCTGGTAGGTTATATAACTACAAATATAATTCCATATTGAATTTGAAAATCGTGTATACAGTATATTGTTATGTAACCATATGTTTATTGTTTTGCAACCTGACATGCACGGATATGTGCAAAATAGTAATACTGACTCAAAATAATAATAACAATATTCTATCAATTATTATAGTGCCTATGGCCTAGTAGTGTGTAGCGGGATAATATGTACATGGTGAAAGCAACAATGTCAAATGTACTTGGTCAGTTCAGCGCCGCGCGCCAACAATTATTTAATTCAGATTATCGCCTAAAATAACTTTGCGCAGGTAGGAACGCACGTACATACGCAGGACGGTCGCAAGCTACTGTATACGAGAAAAAACCCTTGTTCGCTAAACCTTGTCATTGACTCTTTTGTGCCTGCGGCACTTTAAGTCGTGGATCGGGAAAATATATACTGATGTGTTATGCAATAAGTTAATTCATGATTTTATTTGGCGTGTACTGTAACGATTTATAACAATAAACAAATAAACTGTAATTTTCCGCAGTTGCGGTATGTATAGTAAACTCAACCGGATAATGTGTGATGTGGAAATTTGTTTTTATTGAGGTTTAAACAAGGTTAACTAAAAGATGTTAAATTTGGTAATCGTTCAAGATCTTTTGTAAGGGTATCCCTATAAGTCTTAGTGTCTTATAACTGTAGACTAGAAATCCTTAATTTGACAACGCTGGTAGAGCAGCGAATACGTGATATGAGGATCTTATACAAGCTTTTAAAGTAACTAGTGGTTTGACTGATTATGGATCCGGGATGTTTAGAATTAGCAGATCCGGTCTCAATCTTGTTTCAAGTAACAAATGTACTATAGTATAAGTTTAACTAAAATCAAGATAGCTCTTAGCTTAGAGGAGAAAGAGGGATAAAAAGTGGTAGCGCTGTTAAAATATCAGAACTAGATATAAATTTAGAGCCAACAAACTCTACTACTTAAAGGGTTTATATAAAATTTACTAAGATTTTTTATTGAATTTCATATTGAATTTTTATATAGGGTCAATGCTTTAAAAAAAATTTACCACAAAATCACACATTTGGTACACTAAAATCAAGAATCTCGAGAAGTATTTCCTCCCGGAGCGAGTTATTCCGTATTGGACTCCCTCCGGATGTCAGGAACTCTGCGACAGTTTGAGGCTTTAAAAGTAAATTAGAAGGATTTAAGAAACATATGATATCTAAAAGTATAACAAATGATAGCTATTTTGGAATGTTTCACATGAAGTCTTAGGAAGTATTGAGGGAGCCAGTTATGTCAGAGAAACATATTGATAATTTTTGGTTTCATCTTTATGTGGCAAAGAAGTGGTTTATAAATCTTTATTCCACTGTGAAGTTTGAATAGATTTTAAATTATTATAATGTATTTGATAAATTTTAAAAAATAATATCGTATTTGATATATGATTAATGTTGGTGGGGAAATATTTATTATTTTATATTTAGTTAATATTTTAGAAGGGGAACATGTACTACATTTTTGACGGTTTCATTTTATATAGGGTCATTGTGATATTATGTGTATATTGTTTGAATACTTTTTATATAAATATTTATAATAATACACAGATGAGTAACTTCGTATAGATCCAACAGATCCTTAGCTTTCTCTATAGACTTGGAATGGAACCCTAAACCTTCTACCTAGGAGGTGGATGCTCTATTGCTCTAACCACTCAGCCACCATGCCCCTATATAGTTTATATATATTGGGTCATAAAGTTAAGAGAAATAGGGATCCAGCCGACAGGGTAAAGATATTATGAATTAGCAGCCCCAGGTCATTAAGACTTGTATTTTGAGTTGATTTATGATTTATGTCATTTCTAGCTCAAAGGTACTAATAGCTTGATCGTTACTGATATAATGCAGGGTGCTGGTTAAGCTCCTAAATTATGAATGAGACATTTTTAGTTTCGATCCATTTCACCACCAGACGTACATCTTAATGGCCGCTTATATTCCACTGGGTCAATTAAAAGTAAACTAGTACAGCTAGAACTATATAATTTTACTACAGTATGGAAATGGAGATGATCGTAGGAAGAACTCCTCTCAAAGCCCGAAATCAGACGTTTACTCCTGCTCTAGGTTTGCTTAATACGTTACAATTACCTTTCACATTATGTATCAATGGACAGTTTTTTTTTCTTACTTAGTGTGGCTTTATTCTGTCTTCAAACTTCAAAGGTTCCTTAGAAATAATTTTGTTTAGCAAGTTCAGCAAGTTTTTGCTAGAATTTATTGAGTAAGAAATTGCTATTTTTCATCTCTTCAGGAAAAAGACAGGCAAACCGAACCATGTTTGCAACTCCGCCGAAAAGAATGATGACTGCCACCCCTCGACCTACACCTGGCAAGAAAAACAATTGTAGCACACCAAGTAACTTGATCTTCAAAAAATCCAGAAACTCCCCTGGTTTAAAGTTGCCTGTGAAGTGAGTTTAAAAGATGCCATTTATGTGGTTTCTTTTCTGGATTAGGATTTTAAATTGAAATTCGACTTTCAGAGTTCAAACAATATTGTCTGATATTTAATAATCAGTGGCAACGTTTGTATTATGTACCTCGATGATATCTATGTTATTACTTTTAATTCAGTAGATTTGGGGAAGACAATGTGCATCTAAACAGCGATGGTATCTTTAAACTAGCAAAGCACATCAAGTACCATGCTCACCATTGAAATCGACATGACATTTCCACCTGAATATTTATTTTGATTTCAAGTTTAAAACTTTTCTATTGAAAATATTTACAGGCGGATAATTTTCACCTGATTTTAGTTTAATCAGACACAACGACTAACACGTTTTGTGAAATGACAAATATTCACAACTCAGCTGACAAATTTCATAACCTTTGCATTGGTCACTGTAACATTCAAGGTGGTCTCCTAAATTTAGCTAAAAGTAATGAACTTACTCAACTCATTCGAGATCATAAGCTAGACATACTTTCCCTAAATGAGATGAATCTTAATGATACTATTGACACAGACACCATAAATATTCCTTCCTCCTTCAACATTATGCGATGCGACAGGCCAAACAGTTCTAGGGGTGGTTGTGGCTTAATGATAAACAAAAAACTAGCTTACACAGAATTAGTTATGGATAGTAAGCTTGATAACATTGAAGCATTATGGGTGAAGCTTAAGAATAGCAAGATCAATGTTTGCTGCTTCTATCGCTCTGGAAATTATTGCAGTGTTGATAACTTTATTGAGTACATTAATTTTTGCATGAAAAAATTGAACGGGAAAAAGGTTATCTGGATTGGGGATATAAACATTGACCAGAATAATATCTCATCCACCCAGTACAAAAAATTAGATATGACCTTGAGATGTTACAATCTAGTTCAAACCATTCAAGGGATAACTAGAGTTGCTAAACGTGGAGACAATTTTACCCAGACTACTATTGATGTAATATTCACTAACTGTTATGCAGATTTTGTTCAATCTTCTGTTCTTGATGAACGTATTGGGGATCATCAAGCTATTATGTGTGAGATAGATTGTAAAGTACCTATAGCTATATATAGCTCCTAAATTTGAAAAGGTTGAAATTAGAAATCATTGTAAACGTAATGTTAAACAATTCTTAGACTATCTAGATACCTGTTCTGATTACAGTCCACTTTTGGAAAGTACAGATGTTGAAGCTATCACTGCTGGCCTTTGTCATCATATTGAACAGGCATATGCAACCTTCTTCCCTTGCAAGACCATAGAAAGGCATGAAAAGTTCATACATAAACCTTCTACTGAACTTTTAAATGCCATTAATCATACACATTTTCTTCTAAAGAAATTCCGTAAAAAGAAGGATAAGAGAGACAATGGAAATTGCAATAAATGTGGTATATGTAGCAAATGTATAAAGTGTAATGAGGCCTGGGATTGCTACAAGATTCAGAGAAATATTAGAAATAAATTAGCTAAAACCTGCAAAAAGGCTAATGTAATCGATGATCTACAAGTTAAAAGTGCCAAGAATGATCTTAAAGGGGTATGGAAAACTATCAAACTGGCATCAAATATGACCCCTGGTACAACTAATTGTCAAACTATCAATGAGAATGATCCTGAGCTATTTAACTTTCATTTTGCAAATGTTGGATCAAGATTACAAAATCAGGCCCCCAATATTGAAAGAGTTAGTTTTACTGATTTTTTACCTCCTAGAACTTCTAACATCTCATTTGATAGATTCCAAGAAATATATGAAACTGATATCCTTATGTATGTCGAAACGCTCAAGAATGACAAGGCCTCATATGACGATGTGCCTCTATTTTTACTTAAGCAAGCTGTACCACACATAGTTGAGCCACTGACCCATATTGTCAATTTGAGCCTTAATACAGGTGTTGTACCAACCCTTTGTAAAAAAGCTAGAGTAACTCCCATCCATAAGGCAGGAATGAAAGATGATCCTAATAATTACAGGCCAATATCCATCCTTCCACTTGTAGGAAAACTTATAGAATACTTTGTCGGCAAGCAACTCACTGATTACATGGAAGAGAACAAACTTTTCATCCGGCATCAATATGGTTTTCGGAAAAATCACTCCACAACTTATTTGATGTACGATCTGATGGACGAAATATATATGAGTAAATCTAAGTCTTATAAACCAGGAATCATCTTTCTTGATCTTAAGAAGGCCTTTGACACAGTGAATCATGAAATATTGCTTCAAAAATTGGCATATTATGGAATTGGTGGCATTGCTTTAACCTGGTTTAAGAACTTCTTATCTTGTAGATATCAATGCACTAGGATCAATGGCAAACTAAGTTCATTTTTAGAAGTTCTGAGTGGTGTACCACAAGGAAGCATCATTGGGCCTATATTATTTAGTATCTTCATAAATGACATCATTTATGCCTGTAACCTATCTAAGCCCTTTCTATTTGCAGATGATGGTGCACTATTCTTTGATCAAACTTGCAGAAGCACATTTATAAACATGAAAATAGAACTTATGACAATCTTTAAATGGCTCAGTGTAAATAAATTATCACTCAATGAAAAGAAGACTGAATTCCTATTGTTTGATTCTGTTGATCAACATGATGAATTAACCATTGAATGTAATGAGGTAACTTTCACAATCAAGGAGTGCAAAGAGACAAAATATCTTGGCCTCATTCTAGATAGTAAATTAAACTTCAAAAGCCATGTAGATTATATTATTAGGAAGGTCATGAAGAGAATTGGTGCCATGTATAGAAGTAAAGCACTGCTACCCATTAAATATAGGAAAATGTTTGCCAATGCACTCATGTTGCCACAATTCGATTATTTAGACACGATCTATTGTAGAGCTGGCAAGACAAAACTTGCTGAACTTGACACTCTATACAAAAAGGTAGCCAAAATAGCTCTCAACGTTCCACAAACAGAGAGCAGCCTTAATGTTTATAGAGACATGAAATGGTTACCACTCCATCTTAGACGACAACTCCATCTGTCAAATTATATGTTTAGAATCATCCATGACAATTGTCCTACAAACTTTATGAATAAATTTAGTTACATATCAGGAGGTAGTAGGAGCGGCGAAAGCTGCAACCTATATGTTAATAGATCAACATCACATAAAAACTTTCAATACTTGGGGGCAAAATGTTGGAATAATGTTCCAACAGATCTACGAAATCTGCCCGATGTTAAAAGCTTTAGTGATTCGTATAAGAAACAGCTACTCTCATCTATAACAACAGACCCTAATTATACCGTCGACAATTCATATGACAAATTTTACACTGCAATCATAGTCGACGATAACTAAGTATCTTCTAATTCTTTTAAATCTGAGGCATATATAATTGATGTATCGAAAGGATTTTCCCTTTTTTACCACCTTACCATTTTGATTGATTTTGCACATGACTGACATGTTTTAACTGGAGAAAGGGTTCGCACAGTGGTAGTTTTATAAACCACTTTTAATTTATTGACCTATTATACCTAGTGGTAGTTTTATAGACCACATTTAATTTATTTACTTATTATACTTAGTATTTATTTTTGGTGACTGTATCACCCAGTTTTAACATTTGATAATTGTACAGTTTATTGACGACACATTGACTGAATGTTATTTTATATTCTTATTTATATTCTAGATATTTTATTTATTTTTCAACAGACGACAACTTCCTGTTTTTTCTTCTATATTAGTTACTCATATCTCTTTTACAGACTTTTTTACAAGGACATTGACAGATGCTACTCACATTAGGCATTCATTATTGCATCTAAATTATTTCACTTGCATTAGGTTTAGAAATTTATTCTCTGGTTAACAGATTTCAAATGTTTAATTAATTTGTAGTATGACAGTAAGGTATTTAATTTTGCTTGGGCTATTATATTGACTATTGAGGTTTAATGATGATATGGAATTTGAATTCTATATAAATTTACACTATGTGGTTGGGGCATTTTGCATAGTAAATATGGTTACTACTCCTATATATCATATTATTTGATTGGTATTCGATTTCTGATTATTTCTCTAGGAATATGATTATTATATCTCAATTTGGCTTTAGGTAGGGTGCCCCGCTAAAAGAACTGGATTCTTCCAGGAAGCATCCCGTGCACAGACCTTGGTCTACATATATATTAAATTATTAACCATTCATGCTGTATGTGCACGAAAATTTATTTCAATCAATTCATTTTATATTCTCCCATCTTCAGGACCCCAGGAAAGGTAAACTTATACAAGCAAGCCTCGACACCAGGAAAATTCGTTGTTTTTGAGGACTCTGAAGATGAAGTTCTCAGGGAAATGAAAAGAAAGAACTTCAGTATAGGTTTTGTTTGGATACTTTTTGTTGTAGACAATTAACTGGCACTAATTCTATTCACTTTCATGTGCCCTTGCCGAACTCAAAATCATGAAAAGACATTGTACTAACACATAACCATTTCAGAGCAACCAGAAAGGTGTCCTTGGGCAGACAAAACTAAATTAACTGTAAAATCAGAGCCTGTGCCCCCTCTTGAGATTATAGACGACTACTCTTGTCTAGAACCATCTAGGAAAAAACTTCGACCCCTGAGACTAGGTGAACTTGATACACTTCTCTTTAATTTCATTACTTTTTCCTATTTCACCTTGGGTCTGGTGAGGGCTTACAATGTACATTATACACTATACAGTATGCAGTAGAAACAATATGGTTTGCAGCAAATGCATTATCATTTCATCATGGTTTACTTTTTGACTTAGCATTAAATTCTGACAGTTAAGCTGCCTGTATAATATTATCAAACATATTTCACTCAAAATGTATATAGATCCTCTACCAATCGGGTTTGAACAAGATGAGTTGATATTCAACCTGGATACTGATTACCCACTTCCACCACTATCTGAATATCCTGATGGGGAAGATGGTGAACCAGAACTCTGCCCTTGGGCTAACATATCTTCAGGTAAAAATGCAATTAAAGTATAATTAACGATAATCTAATTGAATAATTAAAAGATTTCTGCACTAAATATTTCTTCAGACCTCACTGAGATAATAAGTTTGACTGAGTCTCTTTAAGTATCTGTCCATACTCCACAAGCATTGGTGGGTGATACATTTTCCGTGATAATTTCGTAACTTTCAATAAAACAACAACCTTTCACAGATCCACTCGACACGACAACAGGAGAAGTGGAACTGGAACTGTCGACACTGAGTGACCTTGACATCACTAAAGAGAAACTTAGTCAGATATCTATTAGTGAGTGTCACTGTCCTTTTGTTCTGCAAAATTAAACTGATTTCAATTTGTTCAACTTTCTTTTCAAGAAAAACGTTAGACCGGTTAGACTTACACACTGTTCAATTTACTGTAAATTTACCTGTTACACTGCAAAGGAAATCTAGGCATGTGATCATCTGGCTATCTTTTATTTTTGTCAAAATGGTGACTCCCCCTAAAATCAAATTAACGTTCAGACCTTTATGTTTATCACTTAACGAGTTTAATATTCGTGTAGGGTGTTTTAACGAGAGCTACCGTGAGTTAGAGAACGCGCTATCTGATGACGAGTTACCAGACATGCCAAGCACTCCCGAACTGGACCTGGAGCTTCAGGAACTTCTCGAACTTTCCTTCGATACCTTCCATTTGTAGTTCCAGAAGTATCTGCTTGGATCTCCGATTGTTTTACTCAATAATTTATTATGTGACACTTTTTATGTTTCATACGGTTCAAGAATTATAACTCCAAAATTGTGACTGTGTATATTACCATGGGGACTGTTATGGTGATAAATCCGATCGTTCAAATATGGGTCATGTCGTGACTAATAATCGTGCTGATATGTTATAATATTAATACCAAATTTTTGAGACGATCTACTCTGAATTTATAAGTTCAATGAACTTATCGAATTTATGAAATTCTTCACTTTCATTGAAACTCCTGGAAAACCATATTTTAAGTAACCATGATATTGATCTTGTTAAATTGTATAAATTTAAATTATACTTATATTTGTTAAGTTATAGACAAATTTTGTGACATTTTTATGAAATTAAAGACGACTTCAAACCAAATCAGGTGTAATGAGATACAAATCGGTGTTTTGAAACTTTAAACAAAACTGTAGTCCACAGAACTCAATAACTTTCATTATTCTAGAATCTTTAGGAAAGTATAATCTTTCTTGATTTTGCGATTTTGGGAATAAATTGCTGTTTTTGTGCGAGTTTCATTGATGTATAATCTGCTTCAACTTTCATTGATGTATAATTTGCTCAAAATGCGTAATTTGCTTTAATAAATTTTTATGATCAATAAATCAAATCGTTTTATTAGCTTACACAGTACACAGTGCACATACAATATTTTAATGACCGAATCTTTGTTAAGATTAATTGAGGCTTCGGTTGTATGAGATGTAACAAAAGATCAAACAAAGGCCGGTCTGTAAATTACATTTTATTGATAGTCACGTTTTATAAGTTTCATAATATGTTAATTGACGAGAGTTTACAATTCGAAACAATCAATCTCACTCAAAAATTAAATTTCTCAACTTTACATCAATCCCAAGGCCAGGCATATGAAGCTTAGAAAATGATAAAATTGAATCTGACGCAGCGAGCGCTGCTAACCGCTGGTTCAGCAGTTGGTGCGCTTACTAACCCCTTACGTGGGGACCTAGTTGCTACACTTGGCGAAACAACTGGCACAGCAGCTCTTGTCAGTATGCGCAATAAAATGAAGATGAACACAACAGGTATTTGATGCTCTGGAATAGTTCTGATTTTATCTGATAAAATGTTTGTGTTTAACTTAAGTTTTTAAGGTTCCCCGGACATCAGTTACCGTTAAATACCAATTTTCTTCACCTCACAAAATAACGACTCAGTTTTCAGGCCTAGAGATACTGAAGGATAGACCGCGTGTCACTGAGCAGACCGTTGACACAGAATACCTCTCCAAACTACCACCCAACACATTAGGCCACCACTATTACCAGTTTATGAGTGGTAACGGTTTGAGCGCTCAACGTGCACAGACTAAATTTGTTGAGGATGACGAACTGGCGTACGTGATGACACGGTATAGGGAAAGTCATGACTTCCTTCATACGCTCACTGGTATGTATTACCTTATTATATGGGCATCACGTGGAAAGTCAATTCAATTTAGTGAGCAGTACTTAAGTTATTGACACAAATGATAAGTGTTTTTTTAATGAATTATAATAAGCAGTATAATGTAAGTTAAATATTCTACATTAAACTTTCGACACATTTTATAATTTCATCATCCTGTAGAAACTGTACATTGCTAACAAATATACCCAACCGCATTCCAGCTCACATTCCACTTGTACTTAGTGGCATCTGACACAGGTTGCATTTCCATAATGTGTGCTGCTGGATGCCCTTTTATCTCCCAAGAAGTCTGAGCCTTACCCAGCAGGACGATAGTGAAGCCTGTGTTGTCAACATTGAAAGGAGAAGTCATTCCGACCATGTAATCGTGGTGTCCCAAACCCGGAAGTGAGGTGGTGATTATGGGGGTATCCACAAACCCACACTTGGTCATGTCCACATCTGTGCGCATTCTGCCTGCCTCCCCCGACCAGTTTGTCTTCCCAGCTCCGGTGGAACCAACGCATGTTATCAAACAGGGCTCTGGGCGAGTTGGGGCGTTACCGTTGAAATCCTGCACCATCACTAGGGAGGCAGTGTCAGAGAGGGATAGTAGGGTTATCATGCATAGTGCTCCTAGCATCAGCATCTTTAACGGTCCGCAGTCCGCAGAGTGGTCAAAACAGCAGAAAAAGGTTTCTTGATGAGTTGAAAATAACGGTTATTATCAGCTCCTTATAAATCAGGTAGATATCTGACATTTGCATTGATCACCATGATAGTTCACTAACTTGTCAATTTTCACACCCTTGTTATTCGTGCACTTGTCGTCGTAGAACTCTTTGAGACTTTCTTACTTATACAATGAAAAATAAAGCGACGTGATTATTAGTTGATAAAGGATTTCCAGCTCTCATCACCAACCTGTTTATTCTCGCACCAACCTGTCTATTCTCGCACCTCTATATCGTTATTGAGAGAGCCAGATGGTGAACTAAAGTGATCATCACTGAGTTTTCGCGATAACATCACTCGGAGTAAATGACTATTATATCAAAAACAAAAGTAATACCAATTCCAGTATAATACTGTACTCGATAAACTATTAACAGGTGTTTTCGTCAGGTCTAGGAGTGACGGTACCAGAAGAAATCTGCCTGAAATGGTACGAGATGGTACAAACGGAGCTACCCATGTGTGCCTTATCAGCTCTGTTCGGACCAATCCCTCTCACTCTTGCTGAGAAGAGACTCCTCTTATCCCAGCAGATCCCATGGGGTCTAGCCTGTGGACGCGCCAGTGCTTTCTTCATGAACATTTACTTTGAACGAGAATTGGAGACGGATATTAATTTGATGAGAAGGAGGTACAAGATATCAGCAGCTCCGAGATACCAGGATCAAGAGCCGGTGTGAAAAATGTGAACTATTTAACATAGTTATCAATGGATACTTTTGAGTTTTGGTATCAACAAAGGAACGATCCGTTTTAATTTATTTTCACAATTATTAATCGTAGATTGAAAACTTTAATAAAGAAGGTTTAGTTTGGGTGTAAAGAATAACATTTCTTTGTCCACATTGGATCAATTGTTAAAAATGCGCTAGCTTACAGATGATACAGAACCTTTTTATACAATACATGTAATTTACATCACTCTTTGATGTGTAAGCGCAAGAATACCATCCTTTTCTTTTCTCGTAAGTCAATTGTAGGGATTGTGTTACTTTTGTTTTGCGACTACTTTCTGTTCAAATCATGATGATGATTAAGATTTGAAAACAACAACGTGTCAGTTTCATAGCATTTTTATGTTTACAGAATATCCGAGGAGGAATATATCATAATGTATCCCTGGTTGCAAAATCTCCGCATTGCATCTTACATTTAGTTATTAATCGAGAACCATCCTGTATTTTCAGTTTCCACAGTAAATTTTGTATTTTCATGGTTGACTGTAAGGTTTCATCAAAACGAGCCCCACACTCTAACTCCACACTAGTTCGTTAAATACCACTCCACTTAAAGTTTTAAATCTAAAAGTATCCATATTGAGACAAGTTACCAAACGTTTAGGAGAGATGTGGCAAGTTTAATGTTTATAAACTAACCAAGTTTAGGAGAGATGTAGCAAGTTTAGTGTTTATAAACTAACCAAGTTTAGGAGAGATGTAGCAAGTTTAGTGTTTATAAACTAACCAAGTTAGGAGAGATGTAGCAAGTTAAGTGTTTATAAACTAACCAAGTTTAGGAGAGATGTAGCAAGTTTAGTGTTTATAAACTAACCAAGTTTAGGAGAGATGTAGCTAGTTAAGTGAATATAAACTAACCAAGTTTAGGAGAGATGTAGCAAGTTTAGTGTTTATAAACTAACCAAGTTTAGGAGAGATGTAGCGAGTTTAGTGTTTATAAACTAACCAAGTTTAGGAGAGATGTAGCAAGTTTAGTGTTTATAAACTAACCAAGTTTAGGAGAGATGTAGCGAGTTTAGTGAATATAAACTAACCACGTTTAGGAGAGATGTAGCAAGTTTAGTGAATATAAACTAACCAAGTTTAGGAGAGATGTAGCAAGTTTAGTGTTTATAAACTAACCAAGTTTAGGAGAGATGTAGCAAGTTTAGTGAATATAAACTAACCAAGTTTAGGAGAGATGTAGCAAGTTTAGTGTTTATAAACTAACCAAGTTTAGGAGAGATGTAGCAAGTTTAGTGTTTATAAAGAAAAAGAGCCTCATTGTGGCGGTTGATGAACTATAACAAAAAGTATGCCTATTCACTCTCAACACAACAGGTACGATATAGGCACCAATCTTATGTGATTAATTATCTTATTAATTATTTAATTGAATTGATTATGCAATCTTAGTAATATCCAAAACTCAGTCAAGCAACTGAAATCAATTTACCCATTCCTGAGATGTGGTAGAGTTGTGAATTTACAGATCAATATCAGAGCCAATCTAACCAAAATTTCACAGTCACTAACATTAACCATAATTTGCAGTTTCGAGCGCGTCACGTGCAAGGTGTGCAAGTGAAGAGTTTGCGCGATGCCGCGCGCACCCACCTCAGCCTTCTCCATCCTGCAACCAAGCGCGAGGTGTACCGGAGCTCTGTATATCATGAGTCCGCTAACCCACAGTGGGTTCTTCAGAACACTCTACATGCTATCCAGGCTCTGAGAGGTGAGGAGAGGGTGGCCGGGGAGGAGGGGGGGGTACAGTTATAGTAATTTTATTGATAGTTTGTATTCATATACGTGAAGTGAAGTACGTAGATTTCCTGATTAGCTGTACTGTTTTCAAACTACAACCTAAGTTTTAATATTAGTATTAATATAAAACACACCCCAACAGATCTGATAGTTCAAGTTTGGGATTCTGATCGGAACATTCTACTCATCGAGCATTTTGTTACATTGTCGGCACTATCATACTTTGGGGAAAAGGTAACAAACTAGTTGATTAATAACTAAATAATTACATCCGTTAGTTTATTAGTTATTTCTGATGAAGAAGTTGATGTTACTTTCATCATCCTACAGCATGAACCAATCTAACATCAAGGGGATTTTAGAGCTGATGTCAAGTTGTACTTTTACATACGTATTACTATTACTTTTTAAACTATTTACAACACTACCAATCTATTAGATTTATTGAGGACGTTACAGAAGGAATTAATTGAATGTAGCTATGTAGTTTGAGGACTGAGGAGTCCTCACTCTTACGTCTAACAATGGCGTTTCTTTTCTCGTTAAAATGATATGTTTTACATTTGTAATTTTGACTGTAATTGTATAACTGCTCATCTGCTCCTTTATAATATGGGTCGTTCATGGACAACAACATGTGCAGTGTGCCCCTTTATAATATATGGGTCGTTCCCACAGGGGACAGAGTCGGCTTGGGAGACGAACACAGTGATACTCGTGTTGAACGATTCTCTCTTCTTTTCACGACACGGTCAGTTTGATGTTTCAGACTTCAGTATAATGCAAATGCAATATGGGCAACTTCTTTTGTTATCTCAATTATATCGGCAGTGGTTGAATTCTTGGTATCAAATCATATAATATATGAATTATTGAAATTGTGAGTGAGGGATTATAATATTATAAAGTAACGATAAGTTAAAAATTTAAGTCGATTACAAGGCTAATACGCAGGTTAATAGTCGCAGGTTTTTTCCATAAAACTAAAAATTTTAATCGAGCGAAATTTGTTTATTGAATATTCTGAAAGTTAACAAGCCCAAATAATTATGCTCCACTTTCGTTACAGGTCGATATCCAGACATAGGACCGAACGTTGTTTTGGAAGAGGGAGACGTCAAGAAGCCTTTCTGTAATGTCAGAAAATCCGACACTAGGATTTCGTACGACACCAAAACTGTTCAGAAGTGAGTTATACTTCATTTAATTGGATATCATAAGATACTATTTAAATCCGTTCAGCATTTAGTCTTACTCCAAAGTCGCTTCTCTACGATGCCGTAACTATTCAGGAGTGAATTTTTCTCTGATTATTTTTCGCAAAACGTCAGATCATCTCTAGACCGTTAAAAACCAAGGAAACCGTTCGACACTTTTTGCTGAACTTGTGATGAATTTTTACAGTCTAAATTTCATTTCAGTCATTTTTCAATTTTAACGCTTCAGAAGTAGAATCCCCAGTTCGAGTGAAACGGGTTATATTTTATCCACGGAGATGTTTTTTCAAGTTTTATTACCAAGTTATTCAAAATCACCCGTATTGACCGAATTCGACATAAGTATAATCTTGCCCTTCGAAAGTCAGTTTCCTCGCCGAAACCAATCTTACGGGGTCTCGTTAATTCAATACTTTTCCACAGTCCACACTCCACGTGATTACAGGATATTAACAAACTATCGCTAGAAGGACTGTTACTTATGAATCTTAAGTTATGACACACCTATATTATTTAAAATTGGCTAATTATAGGTAACCTATAATTAGCCAATTTTAAATGAACGAGATTTCACCACAGATTTCAATGCTCGCGTAAAGAGTATGCTTCCCGTAAACTGGGCAATGAACTGGATACTGTATCACTGAACAAACTTCACTGCGTACCGCGACAATTGATCTCTCGACAATTGACCCCCCAACAATTGACCCCCTATGTAATTACACTGGGGTCAATTGTCGCGAAATCTAGGGCTTAGTACAACAATTGACCCCCCGAAAAGGTTAGGGTTAGGGTTTGGATTAGGGTTAGGGCTAGGGCTAGGGTTTGGGCTAGGGTTTGGGTTAGGGTTAGGGTTTGGGTTTGGGTTTGTGTTTGGGTTTGGGTTTGGGTTTGGGTTTGGGTTAGGGTTAGGGTCAATTGTCGGGGGGTCAATTCTTCAATTGTCGCCACCCACTTCACTGATAGTTCATACTATCGCTCATCCTGACCGTAACCCCAACATTAAGTAAGATATGAAGTAAAGTTTTAGTGTAATCGCATTGCTTGTGGTAGGCACCACGTGTCTACTTGGCTGTACATATTTATAAACTCATAGGGCAGTCCAGTTTCTGTTTCCAATTTCTGTTTCCAGTTTCAGTTTCTGTTTCTTCAACTTCTCATGGGTATCCATGGGGATTGCTTATTAAGGGACGTGCCCTCCTGGCTTGCCAGGAGGGGCTTTTCAGTTCAATTCAATTAGTCAGATATGCGACTTTTAGTTTTAGCTCGTAAATCTTACTCTCACAAGAAGTTAGAAGAGTAATGTATATCGTGCGGCAAGCGGTCAGACAGTAAGTATGTTCACAACACTAAACAGTCACAACGTTCAATGGAATTATTTGATTCGGTCAGTTTCTGCTCGGAAACTTAACTTCTTGATATTAATATTATGAACACTTCATTTTGAGTTGGATTTATAGAATGAGAGTTATGAAAAAATTATTGTAAAAAAAGCCACTGTGCAATAGGGGTCAAATATTCGGGAAATTAAATTGGCACTGCGATAACATACAATCGAGTGGATTTATTAAAATGGTTTTTCTTGAGCGTGCGATTGTTTTAAGTCAATGGTATGTCAGGGGGTTTCTAAATGATTACGGTAGTATAATTTGAAGACAATAGCTATGTGTAAAACTGATTACCAAACAGTGATTACGTAATATGTGAACGACCCCTTTAAATGCCTAAATTCTAAAAGCATTATAAGTTTCGATACGTACAGGGTTAGCTATGAAATTTAGGGTTTGGTCGTCACTGATTGGGTTAGGGTTACTCACTGCGAGTTTTGTTTAAAATTAGGCTAGGAAAATGAAAGTGAGACAGCTCCGTGTAAACTCAAATGTTATAATCCGCTTGAATATCTCGGCTTTGGAAATATCACAAGGCTGAGCGCTGCCATCGCCATTTTCACGTTTAAGCGACACTCCAAATCACCTGGGGCATATTCCGTTTATTAACAAATGAGACGCAGCCATGATATTATATAGTTTGGGTTGACTAAACTATATTTCAAAAGGTTCTGGATGGTTCGTGATTTCGTTAAAAATTATTTGTATACAATTGGTATATATTTGTTATTTGTATACATTTGTATTTTGTATACTATATTTTTTTTGTATACTATATTTGTATAGTGCTGTCAGTTTAACTCCAAGAAAGTCGTTTTCTGAGCGAAGAAGGGAATATTCCAGATTGTAGTTTACATTAGGAATGAGATGAAACTATCATTTTCAGAGATATTAAACGTTAACTGACAGTTCACTTTAAAATTTCGTTTAATGAGAATTACTCATTGATGAATCGGAATGACGGAACAAAGTGTGAAGCTAAATATTTTGCAGCAAATAAAATTGAATTTACATAAAATTAACAGCTGGAATTAATATAGCACTATTCTAGTTCTCAGATATTTTTCTTTCGACTTATATCAAAATATGATTTAAAGTGTCTAGGTTCCATCAAAATCAGGAGGTATTCTGTAAAACAGTCCCTACAATTCCCGTTTGGTTTAATATGAAAACTGTCTAAATAAAAGTAAATAGAACCCTTTAATTTTATCCCGATTATCTAGTTTAACCGATGCCTGGTTCATAGTTTTTGGCGTTCATGTTTATCCAGGATGTTTTCACTTCAAAAGTCACCGAAGTCACCGAAATCGTCTCCGAAATCGTCTCCTCCAAAATCGTCAAAGCTGGAATCATCTCCAAAATCGTCTCCTCCGAAATCATCTCCTCCGAAATCGTCTCCTCCGAAATCATCTCCTCCAAAATCCTCTTCTCCTCCGAAATCATCTCCTCCGAAATCATCTCCTCCGAAATCATCTCCTCCGAAATCATCTCCTCCGAAATCATCTCCTCCGAAATCATCTCCTCCGAAATCATCTCCTCCGAAATCATCTCCTCCGAAATCATCTCCTCCGAAATCATCTCCTCCGAAATCATCTCCTCCGAAATCATCTTCTCCTCCGAAATCATCTCCTCCAAAATCGTCTCCTCCGAAATCATCTCCTCCGAAATCATCTCCTCCGAAATCATCTCCTCCAAAATCCTCTTCTCCTCCGAAATCATCTCCTCCGAAATCATCTCCTCCGAAATCATCTCCTCCGAAATCCTCTTCTCCTCCGAAATCATCTCCTCCGAAATCATCTCCTCCGAAATCATCTCCTCCGAAATCATCTTCTCCTCCGAAATCATCTTCTCCTCCGAAATCATCTCCTCCGAAATCATCTCCTCCGAAATCATCTCCTCCGAAATCCTCTTCTCCTCCGAAATCATCTCCTCCGAAATCATCTCCTCCGAAATCATCTTCTCCTCCGAAATCATCTCCTCCGAAATCATCTCCTCCGAAATCATCTCCTCCGAAATCCTCTTCTCCTCCGAAATCATCTCCTCCGAAATCATCTCCTCCGAAATCATCTCCTCCGAAATCATCTCCTCCGAAATCATCTCCTCCTCCGAAATCCTCTTCTCCTCCGAAATCATCTCCCCCAAAATCGTCTCCTCCGAAATCATCTCCTCCGAAATCATCTCCTCCGAAATAATCTCCTCCAAAATCGTCTCCTCCGAAATCATCAAAGCCAGAATCGTCTCCGAAATCGTCAAAGCCGGAATCATCTCCGAAATCATCTCCTCCAAAATCGTCTCCTCCGAAATCATCAAAGCCAGAATCGTCTCCGAAATCGTCAAAGCCAGAATCGTCTCCGAAATCGTCAAAGCCAGAATCGTCTCCGAAATCGTCAAAGCCGGAATCGTCTCCGAAATCATCTCCTCCAAAATCGTCAAAGCCGGAATCGTCTCCGAAATCGTCAAATCCGAAATCATCTCCTCCAAAATCGTCAAAGCCGGAATCGTCTCCGAAATCGTCAAATCCAGAATCGTCTCCGAAATCGTCAAATCCAGAATCGTCTCCGAAATCGTCAAAGCCGGAATCATCTCCGAAGTCGTCTTCTTCTCCGAAGTCACCTCCGAAACTGTCGTCTCCGAAATCGTCTCCCATAAAATCGCCGCCACCACCGTCTTCTGGAGTTTCTGCACACTCAGTTGCTTCCCTGCAACAGTAGTTGGCACAGAAGCTTTGCATCCATTCACCATTTACACCGTCCAAGGAGCAATCGTCCTGTGGATAATCAGAGTAACAGAAAGGACCCATTACGGGATCGTTGGCACTGTTAGCACACCAGTCACCGCCACACTTTGGCAAACCGTCGCAGTAGAATATCTCTCCTAGATTAACTTCTATCTTGCCATCTTCCGGAGCTTCTCCTCCTACATAGGTAATGGCAAGCTTCTTGTACATCTCCAAGTTGATCTCAGAGGTGAAGCACCAGGGGGTGGCAGCTACTCCATCCGGGTTCCTGCAAAAGTTGTGATTGTAGTTTGAACCCTGATTAAGGGCTGCTTTGACAAAGTTCAGATCCGCTCTTCTGAAGTTGAAAAGACCTGTGGCAGCAACTGTTTGCCAATTGGCACAACCACTGAACTGCAGGGTTGTTTGCCTGTCTCCGTTGTAGTTCTTTCCGTTGCCATTCCACTCCTCGTCTCCTATCTGGATACAAGCCTGCTTGATCCTACTGTCAGGCCCGTACATATTCTGAAGGACACAAATATTCTGTTCCCCGATCAAAGTGAACCCAGGATTGCACTCGATCAGCAAAGCGTCGCCAGCTTGCAGCATTCCACTGTTCAGGACTTTTCCGTTCTCTATGACGGGTGCGTAGCACATTCCCTTAGAAGGTTTTCCAACTCCAGCCAGCAGGTTGATGTTGTCCTCGAGGCTACCACAGTCGCTTGGATGAAGGTTGCAGGTTTTAGCACACATGGTGACCACGCCGTCAACCTTACAGAACCTGGTATACTTGGCACACTCTCCTTTGACGTTCTCAAAGTCAGAACAGGTGTCTGCGCAGACCAAGCAAGTTCCAGCGCACATTT